AAAAAAAAAAAAGATTCCCTGTGCAATTCCAGGGATGGCTTCTTCATTTTTTTTTGCAGGTCTATTCATGGTGGAAAAGCCCTTTTTTTGTGACTCAACACCATTAAAAAGCACTTATCTTACATTAAAAAAAATAATAATAATAATCCATATTGTGCACAGGGGCTCCCAAAAGTCAGTGAAGAAGGTGGTGGCGGATTTAGCAGACTGCTTCTGTTCAAACACAAAAGGTCTTCTTGACATTTTGCGGCGGCCGTGTTAGTTGCTCATGCTTGTCGCCTCTTTCTCGCACCCTGCAAGGCCTCAGACACGGCGACATGTTGACATTTACAAACTTATCAGACTGGAGAAGAAATGGTACAGCACTCGCGTTCTCTCCTCCACTTAATTATTACTATGAAAAAAATGCAATAAAAAGTAAGTCGTCCTTTGTCGACATGCTTGGCGACAATTTTCGTAGAGCGCGCTCCCTGTTCGTTTGTGACCCCATTCGACTGATAAGCTTCTGGATGGCGGCCAAATGGAGTGAGCAGGATGCAGGTGAAATGAGGAGAAGGGATTATGAAATGAAACCCAGCAAATAAAGGGCAAACAAGACTGAACATGCTGCATAAGGACAAAGAAAGATAATTTAAAAAAAAAACAGATTCTTTTCTCTTGTCAGGAGGAGAAAAGACTCCTTTCACTTTATTGACTCACAGCCAAAACTGAAGACGAGCGGTGTTTTCAACAAAAAAAGGGGTATGCGATGAGGAAGCTTAAATATGAAACATTGTGCGGGTTTCGCCGCTGGCACCCCGACGCGTCCAAGAGTGTGCTTGTGCGTTTGGTCCGGCAGATGAGAGACGCTTTAGAAGTCGGGCCCTTGTTTCTTCAGTTTGCTGTAGTCGATGTTGACTGCGTAGAACTGAAGAGCATAACGGAGAAGACGGGTGGGCTCAAAAGCTCTCAACCTGCTCCCTTCCCTCCCTTCTCATGTGACAATTTCAAATGGAGGTGGCTACAGTTCCACTCTGGTCCTGTTGGTGGCAGTGAGGTTCACTGAGAACCACTGAATTCGGAAATTGAAAATTCTTGGATTTGTTGCAAAATATTTTCTGTCATCCTTGGCCGGTGTCACCTTGTTCCACACGATCTTGTGCAAAGTATTCATTTTCATGATCGAAACATTAACCTGTTGTCTCGTCATTTTCATCAGACACACAGATCCCCTGTAATTTAATTCAAAACCAACCTGACACGAAGTGGCAAACTTCACACTGATATTTGCGTTATAAAATTAGACAAAGCAATTTCAAACGGTCCACCATATATCACAACCAATGAGAACAACTGCACTGAAACCTTTCTTTTTTATACATCTATGCGCAATTAATATACAACACATCTTTTTTCAAACCAACCTTGTACTGATCAGTCGGGGCCATCTTGTTCCACGGCTCGGGGTTGTTCTTGCGATCCCAGCTGCACAAGTCAAATTAAAAATGATTTAAAAAAAATCTATTTCCAGTACAGTCTACACATGACAAAAATAAAAATATGATGCCGCTTACCTAAGTGGAATGTGAATGTTTCCCAATTGGAAACAATGTAACGCGAAATGATCCCGTTACCAAATCAAACCATCAAAACTGATCATTTTATTTGGATTGCACCTTTGCACGGGTGTTTCACAATAAAAACAGACAATGAACAAAAAGAACCTATTGACCAATTTGCATGAACGTAGTAAAAGAGAAAATTGACGTTCTAATCACACGACTGTAAAAACACTTAAATATAACTCAGATTAATAAAAGTTAATAACCCTTTAAAGACCAATGACAGATTGGAGATGGCACAAAACGTGTTTGCGTAGCAATACTGTCAACTTGTCTCATTTTTAAAGTATTGCTGGAATTTTCAAGTGTCTTTAGGCAAGCATCTATTTGGAAAATTTATTTGTGCATGAAATACTTATTGCACTACACACATGCCAAAGGTTATCAATACACTTTTCATTTTGTCAACACTGGTACACTACACAGTTGTTTGTAATTTGGAGCTAGTTTTGTCGTATGAGGTTTACTGAGCTGAAATCTCAAGACAATACATAGTATAAATTTCCCTTGGTATATTTTTCCAAAACATCACGCTCAGACTCCTAAATCGTACCACATTTGGGGAGCTAAGATTTCAGACCGTAAACCCTTATTTTCCACCCGTTGCCAGATGAATATAGGTTTATTCGATAACTGTCTTGGAGTTAGTATTTATTATTGTTAAAACGACTAAACTTTGGACACTCCCTATAAGCTCCGAACAGGCTCAATGTTTAATTACCCCATGAGTCCATGTGAAGGAACCTTTTATCCCTTGAAAGGCTCTATATAGAATCTAAATTGGTATAGGTAACAATAGGGCTAGAAGGACATGTCAGTGGGTTTAAAATGCCTTGTAATGTGGGTAGCATATTTACCAGACATCTGGGTTCCTCAGTCCCAGGCGAGCCAGGTACATCAAGGACATGACTGTACCTCCGCCAATGAAGAAGAAGAGTGGGATCAGCTGCAAGAAACAAGGCAGCAGCATGAGGAAAAAAATAGCAGCCCTTCTGTTTGACCACAAACAAGTTAGTCACAAAGTCAACCATGGACGCCTGAAGCAAGAAAATAACTTTATAAATTCCAGTTCAAATAAGAACAAAAAAGATTACTATTTGTGTTCAAATGTAAGCACTACGGCTATCAATAACGTGTACATTCAGTAATCTTTCTTGATTATTTTTATTTTAATAAAATATTTTAATATTTGCTGTAAAGACACGTGTCTTTAACATGTTATTCTTTGGGGTTTTGACTGTTTGATTTTCCAGAATGGCAAAGCTGCTTCGTTGAAAGAGTTATTTGTGAAATTGCTAAGCAGCTGCCATTTACGACCTAGCACCTACTTGGCCGTCTTATCAGTCTGTGCGCCGTCTGACCCGATTTGACTCCAAAGCATCCCCAGACAGACGTTTAAACAACTTCAAATGTGTCACGACACATGTTACGCAATAACAGCGGAAGACAAAAATGTATTATTTTGTTTATTGGACGAAAAGTTCGACGAAATAAATTGAGCCTGTGTCAGTGCTAGCGTTGCTAAGCTAACCACGAATATCAACAGAATTCCGAAGCAAACGTTGCAACATGGCTGTTTTTGTCTGATAATCCTCAATTAACTCACAGCCGGGTGGCTCCTCAGTTGCTTGCGGACTGTAGCCAACATCGTGACAGGTAGTTAGGTGTGCTTTCTCCCAATTTGTACACAAATAAGGGGATTAAATGCAGTCAGGCCAAAAAGTGCGTTACTTATTCCGCCAGTTTGAGCCGAAGAAACGCAGACGGACACTAAAATAGGAGGTCGAGGTGAATGCCTGAGAAAAAGTGGCAAAAACGTATGATTAATAATTATGATTTGATGATATTTTCTATCTTCTCAAAACAATAGGGAGTAAAATGTGTATATTTTGAAAGTTTCAATTTGTGCTGCTTCAGATTTCATTGATAGGTTATTATTTAGAACTGGCATATGTACAACAGCCGTAAAGTTGCTACTTTACTGTTCTTTTTTTCCTTAAAATGTGTCAGTTTTTGTATTGTTATTATAGTGACGTCACGGCCACACACAAATGCCATTATTAATGTTAACTAAGTGACGTTTAAACAGTGGTTTACGTCGTCTCTGAAAACATGAGTACTGTAGTATCTTCATGACGTGAGGCTCGTTGAGCAAGGCCGCCAAAGTACCAGCTGTTCCTATAAAGTGGCAGCAGGAGTCGCTGTTTAGCTCGGTACGAGAGGAACCAGAAATTTACAACTAAAGATCCCCAAAACATGAATATGCCACATGATCAGATTTTTTCAGTTTCTCACTGAAAGAATATGAATTTACCAGTAAATTGCTACATATTCCACACAGTGCTTGTTTGGGAGTGTGTGTTCCCTGCCAACACAAATTAAATGAAGTAAAACAAAAGTTACGATCAAAGGTGACGTTTTCCCTTTAATAAAAGTGATTGATAATTTGTACCAAAAAACAAAAACACAAAACGACAAACAAAACGTATGTTTCATAAGTGACAAGTTACTTGGCTAATTATTGGCCAAGAACATGTGATACTGAAACATTTAGCAAGCAACATGTCATGGTTTGTTAAATTCATGACTTTAAATCCTGCAATTTTTTTTGTCCTTGATGAATGTGTTAAAACTGAAGAGTTTGTATTAATTAAAAATGAGGTCATAGAAGTTGCATCCTGCACGAGAAGTAAGGTTCCGGCTTGTGGATTGTGTTCCGGTATCTTAATGTACTGTCTTCTTGGGTCCTTTGCCAAATTTTGCATCCAATCCAAGACCTGAAAGGTCAAAAATAGAGGTGTGAAGAAGCAGCTGAGTAATTGTCAAAAAAAAAAAAAAAAAAAAAAAAAAAAAAAAAAGTGGTACCTCAACTTATTAGTGACTCAACTTGGGAGTTTTCAAGATACTAGCCATTCCTCAGTTTTGGTACCTTTCCAAATTAATGGCATTTCTATTCATTTAATTGGGGGGAAATTATTTGAGAGTGATTTGAGATACAAACGTGGTAAAAAAAATTTAACTTGTAAGTCAAGGTACCACCTTACATCCAATTAAATTCCCAATCTCTCTCACCAAGGAATACCAGAATGGTACCAAACCACTGCATGTCGCTCATTTGGTTCCCAAAGAGAAGGACGGAGCCCAGGATAGTGAAGAACTTCCTGGTGGTGGTGACGATGGAGCAGGTCAGCGGTCCAAAGTAAACCACCGTCATGAAGATGAAGGTCTGGCATCAAACAGGGAACCATGTCATTTATTTTGAATACGTCCTGCTGGCTTTTTAATCTTTTTTTTTTAACGTTGGCTCACCTGGCCCAAAGCGCTAGTCAATCCAAAGAGGAGGATGTTGTATAAGATGCTCGGGTAACGTTCCGTAAAACTCAGGAACTCCCACACCTCACCAGTCCACAGCACAGCTGCACAGAGCATACACATTCAGAATTTACCCTTGATTGTCCTAATCGGTCTCCAGTTTCAAACTATTAAGAAAACAAAATGATGATTAAACGCTCCCTTCAAACACATTTTAATTTTAAAAAAGTGTAAATCATAATACATTGTCAAGGGCCTCAAATATCGCTTGCGCTGGCAGGATAAATGCTGCGTCTATGGCGCCACCAAGTGGTGTGTGGAAATATGACATACAATAGGATGAGACGGATGTTGACGGCCATTCGAACAAAACTATGATTTAAAACCATCCCTTGAAGGCAACACCTCACTAAATCAGATAAGTGGATCTGAATTTCTCTCTTTGTAATATCGCTAATGTGACTCACCCAATCCCAGGAGCACAGTGGACCACAGGTTGATGTTGAGCATCATGTGGTTGGCGCTCGTTTGGAAGCGGGACCTCATGTGGTCCTGGGCCACGCCTGTCAGGCCATCCAGCGTCAATGACACCAGCTGTACAAATAAGATAGTGACAAGAAATGTTTAAGCCTTGGGCTTTTATTTTAGTTTATTTTTTACTTTATAGGTACAAATACTCACCAAGAGGATCTCCCCAAAGCCAAAGACGTGGTCGTCCGCCATCGCTGAGCTCTTGTTGGGCTTGTAGAGAAAGAGCGCCACACCGCTCACGATCAGAAGCACACACAAGTATTTGGCCATTGGGTAGCGCTTCCTCAGGATGGTCACCCCCAGGATCATCACTGCGGCGATAAACATGAACTTGATTGAACGACTTTTTGAGCGGGAAAAAAAACTCAAGGCAGACAACGGGTGCCGGCATGCATGTGTAACTGCAAAATACAGCATACTTAACCTACCTGGAATTGGCTTGCAAGATTTTCCCAGCACCTAAAAACAGGGTATTGTTTTAGGAACTATGAACATGTTTATCAACTAATGCATATTTCCTGGACATTCAAGGGACTTTGGACTGACCTGTGTGGGGTAGTTGACATACTGTAGAGCAGAGTTACTGGACACCATGGCTCCCACATACGAGAGGGAACACAGGCCGTATAACCAGCTCCTGGTGAAGTCCGGCTTGGGACCCTCGAAAAATTGAATCACTGGAGAGGAAGATAAAAAAGGAAGAAACATTGTCGTGGATGTGAAGTAAACACACTCAAATCTGACAACTCAAGTGTTTTATTGTTTTTAATACAATCGATAAAATACAGATAGGATATACTGTACCGATATGTACACTTGTTTCTCAACGCCGTAGAAAACAAAGTCTGGACGATGGCATGCACTGGTGTCACAGTGTCGCCTCGCTTCACATAATGTCTCTATGCAATGCAAAAATTGGCAAAACTCTTTTGGTAAAAACGAGCAAAGCGAATGCAAGGCAATAAATACCCTTTGGAGAACCTGATTGACAACATGGTGTTCGTAAATCATTTGACATAAAAATGTAACCAATGACAGAGCAGTGCCATGAGCTCAAAGACTGTTCATATTTTTTTTTCCTACGGCTTTGCGTCTAAGCTGTTGCTTGACAGAATTCTTGGGTTCAATCAATATTTACCTTTAACAAATAACACATTTTGGAAGTTATTAGTAGACAGAACTCTGAGGGGCACAATTTTGACTGCCCCATAAGACAATGAGAAAAAATATATTTTTATCTCGTCATGCCCAAATATTTGAAATGTGTTGATTGGCAGAATTCATATGTATGTCACTTATGATAGGTATATCTGCTGATGAAAAAAAAAAAAAAGAAAATTTGACATGTTATTTTTAATACCGTTACACTTACAATATTGAAGAATGTTGAACTTTGACTTTAAACATTTCCTGTCCATGTTGGGAAGAGATTTGTGATGGTGACATTTTGATTATTTTGCTTTCCTATACAGTATTTCCCGCTGTGATAATTTAGCTTGAAACCAGGCTCTCACATCGAACTGTGTTGGACCTTGAAGGTGTAAATACTTACATATCCTGGCAAACAAAGCGTTGATGATGCACTGGATGAACACCAACGTCCTGGCAAATCGAAACTTTTCTTTTTGGTCACCATGGCCATAATCACCTCTTGTACTGCGGTCAAGCAAAAGTTATACACTTCAGTTGGCGGTGTGGCCGTGATACCTTCAAGTTCACACAATTTATTGTTGTATAAACACTGCGTGAGGTCGTCACGTTGGAGTAACCAGATATGATCCCTCCACCCTCTCCATGCCACTTGGGCAACAGCATTCCATCAGTGTCGTGGCCCACTTCCATCGAATACAATAATATCTTATCTATCATACAGACCACAAATGGTAGTGTTACCGCCGTTTACTTGTAACAAGCTATTCACTATTGTAACTGGGAAACAAACACAGCAGTATCTTGTAATATTGGATACAAAACTCAACTGAGGAGACATTATGTCAGTTCCAAAACATTCAGAAGGGATACAAACTATATTTCCATACATGACTAAGTCCGTGAGGGAAAATTAAGGTGAATGGTAGCTGTAACGTCAATGATCAATGGAGCAATCCCACCAGCTGTCGTGTAAACCCAAACTAAAGTCCTGGTTACTTACATGGTTTCTTGTAGAATTCCATAATAGAAATAACACACGAAGACGCCCAGGAAACAGACGATGAAGCGCAACCGCATGTTGTCCCACATCGATGGGCCCCTGGATGCTCCTTTGCCCGAAGCCATGCCGTCCGCCACCAGTGCAGGTATGGAAACCGACACCGCCGAGCTCCCGGTGCCCCCGACACTGCCG